TGGAAACCAATTTGACAATAAATTTCATATATTAAAAAAAAAAAGAGAAATATAATGAAAGCCACACATGTAAGTTACAATTTTCTAACAACCACATTAAAAGAAGTAAAAAGAAATGGGTAGGGGCGTCTGGGTGGCTCAGTCGGTTAAACGGCCGACTTCGGCTCAGGTCATGATCTCGCGGTCCGTGAGTTCAAGCCCCGTGTCGGGCTCTGTGCTGACTGCTCAGAGCCTGGCGCCCGTTTCAGATTCTGTGTCTCCCTCTCTCTCTGCCCCTCCCCTGTTCATGCTCTGTCTCTGTCTCAAAAATAAATAAACGTTAATAAATGAATAAATAAATAAATAAAAGAAATGGGTAAATTAAATCTCAACAATATATTTTATTTAATTTAGTATATCTCAAATATTATCATTTCAAAATGTAATAGATAGTAAAAATTATTAATGCATTATTTAAAAAAATACTCAATTAAAAAGTATGCAGGAAAAAAGGAAAAAAGAATGAAAAAAGACAAATTGAAAATGTCTGCCGAGATAGCAGATGGTATCAATTGATATTACTATAATCTAATAATATCAATTATTAAATGTAAGTGGAACAAGCATACCAATTAAAAAGACAAATTGACACACTGGAAAACCCAGTTACACTTTTGACAAGAAAGCCATTTAAAAAATAAAGACATAGGGGCGCCTGGGTGGCGCAGTCGGTTAAGCGTCCGACTTCAGCCAGGTCACGATCTCGCGGTCCGGGAGTTCGAGCCCCGCATCAGGCCGTCAGGCTCTGGGCTGATGGCTCAGAGCCTGGAGCCTGTTTCCGATTCTGTGTCTCCCTCTCTCTCTGCCCCTCCCCCGTTCATGCTCTGTCTCTCTCTGTCCCAAAAATAAATAAACGTTGAAAAAAAAAAAAAAATTTAAAAAAAAATAAATAAAGACATAGATAATCGATATGTTAAAAGTAAAAGGACAGAAAGAATACACCACACAAATTGTAATTGAAAGAAAGCTGCGATGGCCTTATCAAATGTAGTAGACTTATTGCCAGGAATAAAGACATTAATAATGATATAGGGATCCATTCTCCTAAAAACAGAGCCTCTAATACATGAAGTAAAATATGTGTACCAATGAAGGAAGAAATAGACATATTCACAATTATAATTGGAGACTAACATTTCTTTCTCAAAAATTAATAGAAAAAGTAGACAGAAAATCAGTAAGTTTATAGAAGGCTTGAACATTACCAAACACTTGACTTTGTTGACATTTATAGAATATTTTGCTGAACAACAGCAGAATGTGAATGCTTTTCAAATGTATTTGTAATATTCACCAAGACAGATCAAATTCTGGGCCACGTTACAAAATTCGATACATTTTAAAAAACTGAAATTTTATGAAGCATGTTGTCTAACTGCAACAGAATTAAAATAGAAATCAATAACAGAAATTTTTAGAATATTTAGAAATTAAACAACTGTTTAGAAATTAAACAACATGCTTCTAATAAAACCCATGGTCAAAAAGAAGTGACAAGAGAAATTAAGAAACATTTTGAACTGAATGAAAATGAAAACACAACATATCAAAATTTGTTGTGTGGAGGTAATGCAGTGCTTTGAAGACAATTTATAACAATATTGCTTATATCAGAAAAGAAGAAAGGTCTCAAACTAATGATCTTTAACCTTAAACAAGAAGACAAGTGCAAAATAAACCTAAAGCAAACATAAGGAAGGAAATAATAAATATAAGAGCATAAATCAATGAAATTTAAGACAGAAAAACAATAGAGAAAATTAAAGAAACCAAAACATGTTTCTTTCAAAGAATAAAATTAATAAACCTCTAGCCAAACAATCAAGAAAAAGAGAAGATACAAATATCAATCTCGAGAATGAGAGAGGTGTTGTCACTGTGATTCTATACATATTAAAAGGCTAATTAAGAATAATTAGGGAGTATTATAAATAACTTTATGTCCATAAATACGATAACTTAGATAAACTGAACAAAATACCAAAGCTTATTCAAGAAGATATCGATAACTTGAATAGTCCTATATCTGTTAAAAAATTAAATTCTAATTTAAAAACCTTCAATTCATAAAAGCCTTTTAAGAATGTATTTCTAGCTTGACAATTAATTTTTAATACTTTCTTCTGCATAAGAATTTTAATGTTTATCATGAGTCATTGAAATAAATTTGTTCCTTTTAATGATTAAAGTATACAAATAGGCTAGAAAAAAGTTAGGATTTTAGTTTCTAGCAGTAAACTAAACATCTTAATCATGGTAAAGCCTCATTATATTCAAATGTTCATTCCACAAGAGTAAAAACAAAGGTCAATTTACTACAAATTTAAGAAAAAAAGAGACCTGTGTACAATACAAAATATTTCCAGCACATTCTTGTTTTATAATCTTAAACATTAACAGAATCCTGTTTTTTACTGGCTACGAAGGAAAGGGTATAAGCTCAGTATTATCAGTGGATGATACGAAATGTTGTTTTATAAATGGCATTTCTAAGATCTAAGATGTCTGAAATTCAATGGTGCTTTACATAAAGAATATATATAAAATCCTTCACTATTGAAACAACTTCATGAGGTAGGAATTCTCTTGATTCTAAAGATGAGGAAATTGAATTATCTTGATTTAAAGAAAGAAAATGAAACTTAGATGAATTCAATAACTTCACTAGGATTATACAGTTTAGTAGACAGAATTTAAACCCTGGTCTGTCTCTTAAACATACCCACTCCTCCATCCATCCATCCATCCATCCACCTGATGTGGATTCAAGTGTGGGGACGACAAATACTAAACTGTTGTATTTCCCATTAACTACTTTTGCCATCTCAGAGTTAATGCACCTTTCAAATATGTCCTCCCAATAGTGGAAACTGGTTGCATGAAGGGGAAGACAGTAACAAAATATTAATCAATCATTTAGAAACTTCTGTTGCCTTAGACATTGTTATTTCAAAAAGAGAAGAGAACCAATAATATGGAAGTCCAGAGATACCCTATATATTCACTGATAACTAATATTGAGGTAAATGAACAAATCTTCAAATTTTGGAATGAAAAAAATCACAGTCATTGCTAGGTAATTTATCTGTTTCCTTTAACAAGACAGCAAACTTTAATTTATATAGCTTTCATAAGTTGTTCTCTGATAAATTTAGCCTAAACTGACTTAATTTTATTATTATCACAGTTCTTGGGTAATATTTGTATCCACAAATTTTTGCCTCAGTTTTGGCCAACACCTCTCATTATAAATGGAAATAAGTTCATTTTGGTGCTTCTTGTACCAGGCATAAAAATCCCAGCAAATAAAAATTTATCAGGATTTTGGGAATTCTTCCAAAAATTTTTGGCACAATGTACAGCTACACTTTACTACCGGATAATTATTATTTCATTGGAGAAACTGTTAGTTTCATTTCTCTGAAGAATTACTGTATCTTTAAAAGTGCTTTACAATGATATAAGAGAACCTTCCGATGTCAAGCAATCTATTCTTCAATTAGGAAAGAAAGGTACTCACGGTTGAGCCCCAATTTCTCGTAGATGATAAAAGAGCTGGGGGAGGTAAGTTTGAAGAAGAGTTTCAAACAGCAGACAGAGGGACACAATACCCTGGATATGATAACAAAACACGAAAGAAAAATATATTTTAGTATTTAAAAATGAACTCTGCCAATAAATCATTCAAATGGAAATGAGGAAAAGATTATTAACATAAATATTTGTATATTGTCTAAGAGTCAAAAACAGGAAATGTACTAATGATCTCTAACACTGTGTTTAAAGATAAATTTTTCCCTATTTACGGATACTTACTATTACAGATATGCCAAGGAGCCTCCTTTTTAACACAATGTGTTCCCTATATAATCTGGTGTATAATGCTCAGAGTCCAAGGAAAAACATCATTTTATAGAAAACATGCTACTTTGTAAGCCCGGTATTATCACTTAGGTCCAGCAAACTAGTTTTTTCTGGATCCATTCCAATTTCCAGGTATTTCTCTGGTACTATAGTCACACCCTTTACTTTATGCCTCCGTGTGTCCTTTCCCTTCTAGCTGCCTCACCCATCAAGGAAAGTATTTCCTGCTGTTTTCACTTTCTTTGAAATCCATCCCCAGGGGAAAAGGGACTACTGACTGCTTGAAATTTGCATCAGGAAGTTATCGAACAAGAATGTTTGGTTACTTAGTATAAAGACATATACACATTATGCCTGAACTATACATCTGTGTATGTATCTGAAATCTACCCTTTATAAGGGCATTATTTGTAGAGGACAAGAAGTAACCGATTTAAGCAGATGGCTTTTCAAGTGTGTTTATTACTTGACAACTCTGAATAAAGTCTTTCTTGTAGCTCAGCATTCCGCAGGGTTGATCTTTGTAAGGAAGTTTTGATCCTCTTTGTGAGTTTCTAGAGAAAAAAGGCTGTCGTGGTTCCAAATAGTTGAGTCTGGCTGCAAGCCAGAAAAGGAGATGACTGCCACTGAATAAAGAAAGGGCAGAGGCAGGGCTGGCCCAACCAATTCACTGAAAAAGGACACCTCAGGGTCAGCACAGAGACAGAGAAAGAATATCCAGGGTTTGCTGGGCGTCAAGCTTCAGTGCTCTGCACAGGGACAGACACTGTGGGTGTGTAACGGGCAGCCACTTAAAAAAAAGTTTTTTTTTTTAAACTCTGAAGCATAAAATGGTACAGAATATGAGAGTAAGAAATCTGAGGCTAAAAATGAGGTTATTAGAAAATAGAATTGTTAGCATATTTCGGATTAGACTAAAAATTAATGTGAGATAAGCACTAACTCAAGTTGTCTCGGAGAGAAGAAACCCAAGATAATTGGTGGTGCCTCCTTTGTTCATGTGAGACATCCTGGATTTCTGTTATCTGCTGGCTCTCACGAGCAATGTATGGGAGCAAAGGTGGAGACACAGGAAAGTGGAACAGGAATACACAGGGTTAAACTGGGGGGGGTGGATAAAGAACAGCAATTCAGTTTAACAGCAGGGACAGAGTCTTCTCTTTAGGGAAATCTGGTAGCCCTGATACGTTCTAATTTACTGTTTCTTCTGGAGAGTCAGATTACCCACAAGTAAACCAGAGCAGGCCCAAAGGTGAAAAAAAATATAAAATAAATACTGCTTTTACTCAAGCTCATGGGTGGAAAAAAAGATATGATAAAGGACTGGCCAAATAAAACAGATAAAAATGTTCAACTCCCGATATGCTCCTCTTTGACTTTGAGGTCAACGGAGCTATCTACTGAATAAACACAAAGAAAATATCAGTATGGTAACTGATAACTAGTCAAATGTGAAATTGAAAAATAAGTGACAGATAAATGTTTGATTTTCATTAACAAAGAAGAGATGATGATGATGATAATCACAGCAACGACAACAGTAAAAACAGCACTCATTTATTTACAGGACACTTGCCATGAGCCGAGGACTACCCAAGTGCTCTTCTCCTGAGCACTACAGAAATATATCAAGCTCATCTCCTAGATGGGGACACCAGCGTGCAAAGAAGGCATACTTGCCCAAGTGAATAATACAGACATTTTTATATGTTTTTTTTTCTGTTAACATATAAAAGATAATGTAAGTGCAATTGATAAAGGCTTTTTTCCTCCTTCATTATCACCAAAAGTATTTAAATATCAATTTTTTTCTTTTCATTTATTCTACAGAAATATGTTGCTTAAAACCACAAATTACAATGTGTTGCTTCACAATGTAACCGAGTAGGAGACTTTTCCTTAAGGAAAGAAAACAGATTAGAGTCTAATTTGATCCAATGTTTATGAACTTACAGAAGGGTGAGAAGAGATGGAATGTAGTCTGAAGAAAAAACGCACATACATCTCACGGAATATCTGATACAGTTTGGAAGGTTCATGGTACAGAAAACAAAGCGGTGCAACTGAAAGAATAAAGAAAGTAATCAATAGCATGGTAGAACTATTAAAGTTTTAGAAAATAAGTCAACAAAACATGAAAGAATAAATCTGTATTATGGTAATATTCATTCAACAACAAGTCTAAAATCATATGTAGTTTTATCGTGTTGGAAAGGAAACATATACACATGTAAAAAGTTCAGTCATTAAAAGCTATAAAGGAGTAGTTAAAAACTACTGTAATCCCAACTGACTACAAGAATGGCACAATGGAATTACACTTCTGGGGATATGAAAAATTCAGAGTAACTTGAAAAAACTATGGAAAGTCAAGTGTCTCTTCTTTTTAATAGAAATAGTAAAGAGTGACAATCAGGCAATTCATTTTTCACTTGTCCCACAAAGGATCCAGGCCGCTTTGCAAAGTTTTTTATTTTGGAAGTCAGGTAAGCAAAATAGAAGATAATTCGTGACTAGTGTGTAGAATCATGGTCTTCAACTAGTTCAGTTTGAAAATAAAGATTTTGATGAACAGTTTAGACTATCGGTCCATATCTCAGCATCATGTAAAGACAGTTTTCACAGATTCACAATAAACCAACCCTCGGGCAGAGGATTCATTTCTCTAATGAATGTTGAATTACGTCTTCCTTTGCACCCAACTCTTGGCAATTAAACATGGGTGGGTCAACTCAATCAGAGACCCCACAACTGAATGTCAGGAAGTCCTAATCTCAGATGCTGATAAGACAGGATTATTCTGGACTGATATGGTTGTGCTTTTCATCTTTTCAAACCTCAAGAATTTCAGGCAGCATAAGCACACTTATAATGCAGACACATAAAACTGTATTACCTAAATATTAATTTTAACACAAGATGACTTACTTTTTGGGTAATTTCAGCTATGATGCAAAATGGACAGGTTAGAAATTCTCAGGCTCCATAATCTGTCAGTAATGCCCTGAGAGCAGGAGGCATTAAGTCATCAGGGAAACCAATGAGGCAACTCACCTCTTTTTCACAAAGTGAAAGGAAAAATGATAAAAAAAATTTTAAATTCTTACAAATACAAACATTCAATGATCTGGGCTACATGGCAGTGCACAGTATTACAGACGAGTGAATCAGCGAAAACTAGTGTTGCAAGGGAGAGACTGCACTTTTTTCTGAAGGGTCAATTTTAGGGGAGTCTAAAAAAACCCCTCCTTTATATACAGAGAGAAAAAAATTATGTTATATACATACAGATGTTTAAAAGCTGACAGCTGTGACTTTCCATTTAAAAACTAACTTTAAAAATTTATTTTACCACCAAAATAAATTGCTATTTATTAAGGTAGTCTCTATATTTAAAAAGGTATTCTATATATTTAAAAAGACTAACTCATATTCTAATTATAACAACGTAAGAAAAAGCAATGTGGCACAAATACATGGTATTATTATAAGTTCAAAGTGAAGGTTTGAAATTTATTTACCTTTTTATGCATATTTTTTCCTTTAACTTTTAAAGATACTGATATGTAAAAACCTATAATCTGAATTTTAAGATTTTATGGGTTCAGCAACCTTAACGGTCATTTCCAGTGAAGGAATAAAAGAATTTTTCAATGAGCACTTTTTTACAAACATGTATAATACAAAAACCTTTGCAATCAGTTATTATTAAAGATACCACTACTGTTTGTGTTGAATTCCTTATGAAATTCTCCATGAAATGGAAAAGCTTTAGTCCATTATGTACAATATACAAAAAAAATCTACGTGAGTTTATTTTCTATCGAAAGCGCATCTCCCTATATGGTTCCTTCGTAAAAATGACTTTGCGCATTGTCTTTTTATCCAATTAAATATTGTGCCATAGGAATTTACTTATGAAGTCATGATATGCTATACCTACAATAACTTCATTCATCTGCATAAATGGGAGAGAGGAAGGCCAGTTTAAATCCATTTTTAAATGAGATAAGTATTGTAATTTTGAAGCACTACAGTAACTAACACGGAGGTGGCAAAGTACTAACTACAGTTCCTCGGGGATGGTATGTGATTATTCTCGTATTCTAAATGGGTGGTTGCTGCCAGGTGTTTGTGGGTGCTTACCACATATTTCTAAAAGAGTGTTAATAAACTCTGTACCAAACATTTTGCATCATCTACATCCTTAGTGAACATTCTCCCCTCTGGTGTATAAACCTTAGCCAATACTTAAGTGACCAGAAGTGTGAACAAGCAGACTCAGAGTCAATGATGTATTTTATTCCCTAAGAGTTGCTAGAAGATTTAAACTTTCCTGACACCATTAATGTCCTCCAAATCATTCAAGTTCACTTTTTAAAAGCTGTTTACTTGAAAAATTCTTGCAGCTGGAATTGAAATAGATAAAAAGACAGCACTTTTATTATCAGATGTAAACATTTAGTAACTTTTTGGGGGCTTTTCTATTTTAAATTCCTCATGTGTTTATAAAAGAGAAGTATGCTGAAACATCGTAACATTATGTATTACATTATGGAACATTGGTTGCTCAAGAGAATAAAGCAGAGTGCCCCATAATGGAAGCTTGTGATCAACACCACGAAGGGTAGCATAGTACAAAGTTCCTGGGTCCTCTGAATCCTTTTCACTGCATGCTGGTCTTAGAAGTTTTATATTACGTCATTCACCATTATTGTCTGATGTTGAACACTGAGGGGCTTTTACCAAGAAAAGGGTTAATGTGTTGCTGATTCTCCTTACAAAAGGAAAACGTTAAAGTATTTCTGTTTAGCGTACAGGTGGGGGGGTGGGTAGCGACTTTGGCGACGACGCTCTTCAACAGGTTTCTATGTAATGTGTGAAAATTTAAAAATTAAGTGGTTTTAAGGTGTAGAGCACTCTTGCTAATCTTCATTAAGCTTCATTAAGCTTCTGTGTTCCTCGTTTGATGCCGCGGGAGGCCAGAAAGGCATTCGGGGCTGTTAAGCCTGCACACGTGTTTTTCACATGTACCTTGGGACTAGTCTAGAGAAATCATAAACCCAGACTTAGTGTTGGCCCTCCCTTCACATCCTTTCTCACCTATTATTTGTTTAAAATTTGTTCGGGAATTTCAGCAACCTCATTTTACACCTGTCAGAACTAAAAACCCGCGCGTTTCCATTGGATTAGAGAATGGTAAACACAAAATCACTTCCACATTGTCTTCTAACTTTAATTGGCCAAGAGTCATCATCTGAGAAAGTATGATGACCCTTTATTTTAAAAAAGTTTAATTGGAGGTATAAACAAATACTAAACTCAATATTTAAAAATGTGTACAGTTACTTGGTAAGCGTGTGGGTGATGTGGTATAAACTGTGATCTTCATCTTTAATTTTCTGAAGTGTAATAAAAACAGCGAATATTTTAAAGCCCAACTTACCATACATTGAAAATCCGTGAAAAGGGATTACACCTAAAAAAGATTAAAAAAAAGTGTTTCTTTTCAATTAATATACCCACTGAGTTATTAGGTAAGCTTCAGAGGATTAAAAACGAAAATAGAAAGGTTTGCTATTTTTGCTTCAACTCTGTTCATGACTGTCAGAAAGACTTAGTGATGGTAGCCAATAAAAAAAATATATATGCTTTTTAATACCTGGAGAAAAACAAACTAGAAGTTTTTGATATATATCCAGTTAACGTTCTATTGATAATGCTAAAAAACTAAAACTTTGAATATGTTACAAAAACAGAACAGGGCAGATGGCAAAACTAAATTTAAGAACAAATTAGGATGGTCTCAGAAAGTCAGCAGATTATGTCCTTCCTGAAACAACTTCATCCTGTATATTAGAATCCAATCTGTTAAAAAGATAAGTGACCAGCTTACATAAACCAGATGGGTCACCTCAGGAAAGTCACTGAACTTCCTGAGTTTTAGTTAACTGCCTGTCATGCAGAGGAACTAACACTGTCTCTGAAATATCATCTAGCTCTAAAATTCTACGTTTAACAATCATGTCTAGAGTAAATGCAGAGAAATTTGTGAGATCCAAAGAAAACCAGACATGTAAGGATCTTCCAGTGGCAAGATTCTTAACCAACTTTAAGGTCTTTTGCTTTCTAGAAACTGGAAAATTCAAAACCAGATTAGAGTTATAAGAGTAGTCAACATTCCTAATGACATGATAGCCACCAGCTTGAGTTGCACGGAGCACTTAGATGAAGGACCACCTTCCTTCTTCAAGTCTCTCTCTCTGTTTATATCTCTGGTTGAGTCTCTTTTTCTTCTTAGGAACAACCATCTTTTTCTACCTTCTCTCTCTGCTGTTTAATTTTATTTCTTTCCTGATTATAGGCTTTTAGAAAATAAAAAAACAAGTCTGTCTTTTCTAACTTTTCTACGATAAAATTGTTGACATATGAAAAAAAAAATCCGAGAGACAAATGAGTTAATAGACAGTAGGCATATTTTGATGTTCTACAGAAATGTAAGTATATATTGTATCTTTCTAAATACTGCCTCTCAAAGCAGGTTGCTATCATATAAAACCTTTATATTCTTTAAAAATTTTTTTAATGTTTATTTATTCTTGAGAGAGAGACAGACAGAGACAGAGTGTGAGTGGGGGAGGGTCAGCGAGAGAGGGAGACATAGAATCTGAAGCAGGTTCCAGGCTCCAAGCTGTCAGCACAGAGCCTGGTGTGGGCTCGAACTCACAAACTGTGAGATCATGACCTGAGTCGAAGTCAGACGCTTAATTAACCAACTGAGCCACCCAGGCGCCCCCAAAACCCTTATATTCTTCCTGCAAAACCCCTTTTTCTTTACTCTGTTAAGCTATTGCAACATTTGAACAAGCAGGTGAGGGTAGTCAGGAGTGAAGGTGTTACTATTATGATTTTCATCTTCTACAAATATTTATTAAGGATCCAAGGATAGGACTATCCTAGTCAGGACAAGCCACTTTTAATTAGGAAGCTTACAGTGAATGACTTCGTGAACCGTCAAGCAGCAAAAAGGGATGCAATATTAGGGTGACTTGGGCTTAGTTACACTTTCCCCACATCTACCTCAAGTTCTGAAATTTATAGCTGCTCTAGAAGCAGCTAGGTCATAAGCTATTTGAGGCAAGGGACACAATTCCTACTGTGTAATATCTTCAGCGCCCGCAGTATCTTCTACAAATGATACAAATTGATGGAAATTGGAGCATTTTATAGATATGATCAAAGCTTATAAATAAAATATTAAAGCGCAGCAGAGAAGAAACTAATGGTTGCTAGGGGGAGAAAGTTGGGGGGTGGGCAAAATGGGTGAAGGGGAATGGGAGATACAAGCTTCCAGTTAGGGAATGAATAAGTCACAGGGATAAAAGAGGGAATATAGTCATTGGTATTGCAATAGTGCTCTACGGTGACAGAAGGTAGCTATACTTGTGGTGAGCACAGAATAGTATAGGCTTGTCCAATCACCATGTTGGTTAGTTGAAACTAATGTAACATTGTGTGTCAACAATACTCCAAAAAAAAATATTTTTCTAAGTTTATTTATTTATTTTGAGAGAGAAAGTGAGTGTGTTTGCATGGCAGGGGAGGGACAGAGGGAGAGGGAGAGAGAGAATCCCAAGCAGGCTTCATGCCCAGCACAGAGCCCCATGCTGGGCTCGATCTCACAACTTTGAGATCGTGACCCGAGCTGATATCAAGCCACCCAGGCGCCCCTAAAAATTCTTTTCAAGTAAAAAAAAAAAATATTGAACTGTAATTTTAATTTATGAATAAGTAATTAACACATAGAATAGGAAGCTCTTAATAACTCAGTATTGAAATTACGAATGTCCAACGAACTCATACAGATGTGGTTTGAATTCTGTGTGACGAGGCAGGTTACCAACACTCTCTTGAGTCTCTGTTTTCATTTTTGAAAATGGAGATGAACAAGACAACTTCACTGAGTTGTACTAAAGCACCGGTGAGTTAATGTCCTCAATGTGCACCAGTGCAGAGTTGAGGACACAGCAGATGGTCGGCAATCAGAGCTATTTTACGCTCTCACAAGAGGCAGTAACACAGTTAGGTATCGGCTTAAACCTAAGAACTTCTTTTTTTGTCAGCATTAGATAAGGGTTCACTTCAGCTTAATCAAGATTAGCCAGGGCTTAAGATTCCAGAGAAGGGTGCACTGTCTGCTCTGTTAAAGGAGGACAAAGTCAAATTCTGGCAAACAAAAGTAGAAGGCATAAGAAGCAGTGAAGAATCCACTAACGCTCTAGGGCACACTTCACCTAGAACAGTTCTTTGATCGCAGAGGGTGTCGCGTTCTTGGCCAGTTTCCCCAAATCCTTCCCTTTGCCTCCTATCGCTTCAAGTGTTTCAAGGGTCGAGTTTCATGCACGTGGCCACCATCCCAGAGTATACTTCTAACAGGCAGCGGGATGCTTGGGCTACCAGCTCTCCTCTGGCTTTAGAGTCCTCCAAGTTTGCCACAACAGATTATTTTAAGAGCCCAGCCATCCTTTGGCCATCTAAAGAAAGTCTAAAATATTAACTGCCTGTTCCATTGAATAGGAATAATTTTTTGAAGTCATAATTTAATGGGCCTTTGACATAGCTCAGAATGGTAAACATCGGCCACAGAAATAAGTCTTGAACTAGATTAAGATATAAATAGTAAATATGACTCAGAAAATACACCAAATATCAACATGCTTCACACTTACTAGATGTTTTCCCTTCATTTCCTCACTGTCTCTGTTAATACTCAGCATTTATAGTTGTACCACAGCTTTGAGGTCTGATTGACTTTAACATCATTCCAAATTTTTACACTCCTTCATGTGGGATTACTTGGTAAAGTTTAACTCATTTGTTGAAATAATCATTTCCTTTGCTTATTCTCATTCTACATGTAGCCTACAGGTCAGTAAGAGTAGGGATACGACAATGGTTAAATTGTTTCCTAGCTATTTCAGTTGTCTTTCTGCATCAGAACTTCAGAATATCACTGTTACTTTATTTCAGCAATTAAAATTTCCCAAATACCAGAACATAGCCATATTTAAGTATCAATCTGAAAACTGTATTTCAAATACAAATTTGATTAGGTTTTCAACTTATGTCTAAAGTTATACATCAAATAAATTTTGGATTATGAGATGTTTTTACTTTATTTAATTAATATAGATGACAGAGTACATTGCTATTTATCAACTGGACACTTGTGAGCAGGTTTAAAATGACATATTTTCACTATTGCTTCCAAGAGCCTTTCCTAATCTTGGTCATGAGGGGCTGTCCTGTGCACTGTAGAATGTTGTTGTTGGTTTTTTTTCAATTTTTTTAACGTTTATTTATTATTGAGAGACAGAGAGAGACAGAGCATGAGCAGGAGAGGGGCAGAGAAAGGGGAGACACAGAATCTGAAGCGGGCTGCAGGCTCCAGGCTCCAGGCTGTCAGCACAGAGCCGGATGCGGGGCTCGAACCCACAAACCGCGAGATCATGACCTGAGTTGAAGCTGGACGCTTAAGTCCAACTGAGCCACCCAGGCGCCCCATGTGCACTGGAGAGTGTTTAATGGCATCCCTGGCCTCTACTCATGAGACACTGGTAAAACCCCGCCTCCCCCTGGCTCTGACAACCAAAAGTGTCTACAGACATTGACAGTGTTTCCTGGGGTTGGGGAGGGGGGTGGGGGGGAGGGGTATGGGGTTGCCCTGATGTAGAGTCCTAAAATGCCTCTACCTAATGTTCACTAGCAACTAGTTATTTTGTCTTATAGGAAACAAATGGTATTGGTATATTGTGCTGTGTATTTAAATCTCAGTCAGATCTATGTGTACTTCTCCTGTCTCCTTCCCTTGCTTCTATTCTTGTTCCTCTATGTTCTTCCATATTGATTCCTTCATTTGCTCTCTCATTCAATAACATTTACTGAGCAGTGACTTTACGCTATGCATGATTCTAGGTGTTAGATCTCTTGGTCATCAAAAGGTCCTTGTTCTCTCGGAGCTTATATTAGAATGACACTTTACTTATTATTATTAATTATTATTATTATTATTTTTAAGTAGGCTCCATGCTCAGCATGGAGACCAACGTGGGGCTTGGACTCATGACCCGGAGATCAAGACCTGAGCTGAGATCAAGAGTCGGATGCTTCAGCCACCCAGGCACCCCATAGAGTGACACTTTTATTTTACACAGTAGTGAGCATGATCTTTTAAAAATATTAGTCAGGAATCAGAGAAGAGATGTCACTGAGAAGAATAGAGTAGGGAACTCCAAAATTCTGCCCTTCCGCTAAAGCAACGGTTAAGCTGGCTAGAACTGTTAGATCAACTTTTTTTGAGTTTTGTAATTTGTTTAAAAAAATAAATAAATAAAACAAAACAAAAAAATAAAAAAATTACAACCAAGGAAATCCTTCATGAAAAAAAGAAGCTGCTGAATTTTGGAAAGAAAGCATTGT